CGACTCAATATGCCGAACGAATTAATTATGCTTCAGTTTCATTATACTTACTCTCAAATGTCGGGTGCGCAAATCTATTATTCCTTAAGAAACCCCATGCATTATTGCACGATGAAAGGGGAAGATTGTTACGCTTTATTCATTAAAATGATTTAGAAGTATTTGCGATCAAGCTATTTTTTCTTTGCGCCGAAAGAATTGTCACCAAATAGCGTTGATGCACTACAAGTTTCCTCCCAGCCTGGACCATAAGTGAAAGTGAGGTCGAAATAACGAAATCAGTCAGAGAATGAAATGAACCAAAGAGTCCAACAATGAGCGAAGTTCAATAATCAATTAACGAAATTCGTACAAGAAGAGAAATGAGTACACAGAATTCATTCGTATGTGGTCGTGAATCACAAAAAAGAAAATTCTCAGCTTGAGAGAAAATCCCGAACTTGAGTTGAATTTTGTTGTTGTTGAAACAATATAAATAAATCTCTAAATGCGAGAAAATTAATTATTTAAAGAACGATATTTCCTGTGTTTGTGACCTGGACCTGACACATCCTGAGTAAGTGTTCTCAGGTCCCGTGATTGACAGACTGTGAGAGTGTTGCCATTATGCTGTTAAATTTTCACTTTTAGCACTTAACACCAGCAAAACCAACGTGGAACGGTTTGCTTAACACATATATGGGGGAAGAAGAAAGGAAAAGAAAAGATTGACCCATACATGTACTCACGTGGTTTTGTATCCTCGTTCATATCGCGATGTTTTTAGAGGCGAGCGGTCCTATGTTCTTCAGAGTTCTTAGTTCGTGCTTCAAGCCGAAAGGCTAAAGCAAGCACCGCAGCCACCATACTATAAGAGTGTCTAACACCTCTAGTTTATAGTGTAGTTGAATTACAGGTGGCGTCAGTGATACACTGATTGGCTTCAGTCTTTATTGAAGAGAACACACGATATGAAAACTACGGCGTGGAACACCCCCGGCCGGGAGGGGCCAAGAGCGGGCAACTCAGGTCACAGGGAGGTCGCTGAAGGTGTGAGTGAGAAGGCCCCACGCCCTGCTAGGGCGGGTGACCGCCAGAGAGTGAGTGAGTGAGAATGAGGGTCAGCTTGGATGACCTTATATACCCCTTGGCTGACGGCGTGGCCTCTATATTTAGAAGAGCGTGGTTTGGGCGCGCGCGGCGTGGAGTACCCGCGTGGTACGCACGTGGAGGCATGGCAATGTAGTATGCTGTGTATGCAGTATGCTAACCTATGCAGTATGCTGTATTGAACCCTTTATAATAACTCTGAATGGCAACTCAAGCGATGGCACCCATGAAGTTCATGACGGACATGTGACGTAACAGTACATGATTGGTGGGATTAACTTGTCCCTTCTGCGCATGTGCAAGATTAAGAAATGAGCTTAGGGCGTCTTCTGTACATGCCATAAAAGTTAATCCAGTATTAAAGTTTAATCCAGATCTCTAGTGCGCATACGCATTGGCAGCCTCCAGGATCAACTTTAAATACACCTCTAGACCAGGCTTTAATATTAAGCTAATTTTTAAATCCTGCACATACGCAGAAGGGGCAAGTTAATACCACCAATCATGTACTGTTACGTCACGTGTCCGTTATGAACTTCAAGGGTGCCATCGCTTGAGTTTCCATTCAGATTTATTTTCGGAAATAACATCGATCGTCTTAGAATTTTCATACTTGGTATTTATTATCAAAATGAAATTGTATATATTTACACAAATGATCAAATATTCTGATAAAGGAAATAACTCATGGTAATGCATATAAAAACAATATAAACCCACGAGAAATCTTTGAAGTTCAGAGGCTGCGGGCATGGAACTCATATTTCCAGGTTAGTGAAACAAAAATTATATGGTCAAGGTCACACAAGTTGACGTTTTAAATCAAATATGAACCAGTATTTTAAAGAAGAATTATGTGCTGAGTTTTCTCAACTACATTACTACAAAATTAACAAGCATATTTTTCTATGGACCTCAACAGCATCCTGAAGAAAACATGTTTCCCTCCTCCAACACGATTCAACGCAGCAAAGAGCTGGCCGAGGAAACTGCGCGATGGATATTAATTGGTGAATGTCATTTTTGTACGTGAGTGTCATTGAAATAAAGGTTGGTTTTATAGTTGTTAAAGCAGTTTCGTTACCCATTTTACTACTACAAATATAAGATTGCCATCATGAAAAAATAGAATATTTCATAAATAATCATGTTTCCCTTTTAAGTAAGCCCACTTGTGCCTCGTAATTATCATATGAAGATCAAACTGCATCTTGAGTGACTGACTACATCTTTCTATACCAATCACCTTTTCTCCAATCTATACAAAATAAATATCAGTCGTCAGAAAAATATTTTAACAATGCAGTGACTAAATGCAAATTGCAAGGTTTATTTATCCAAGGTTATTTTATATCGGACTGCAAATCTTTAGGTAATATATTTAATACTGTCTTCTATATCATATGCGTAGGGACATGAAGGGTGAATGTTGATTAGATATCTTTTGGATGATTTTGTTGCTTATTTACAGGTATGAGTGCATGACTTGCTCCAAACGCTACCTTACACAACATGCAACAGTAATGTGTGAAGAGAATATTGCACAGAAATGTTTCAAAATACCACAGATTTTTCAGCAATAGAAAGACAACATACCTCAGCTCCCTCCCTTTAGATTTGTAAAACCTATTCACACACGCCCAGAAATACGAGGCCAGGATCTTCACATCAACAGCAGAGGGCAGAACCATCACTATCACAGACCAGGAACATCACAAGAATTGATAGAAATTTAAAGGGACAGTCCATTAACTTAAGATTCCAAACAAATCATATTTGAAACAGATAATCTTGAAGAAATGTGTACAGAAAATAAAGGTACGAACTTTCTTACTTTGGTATGATAGTCTTAGTTTTCAATTTTGGGAACATTGGGAGGCATAAAGAATTGATTAATGATATGAATAAGTTTTAATGTCTTGTCTTCAATCCTGTAGGTACGTCTGGGATGAAGGGAAGGAAAAGGTGGTCTTCAGAAGCATCTGAGAAGTTTATATTATTATTTTTACAGAACACTTTAAACAATTAGGGGGCAAAGCAGTGCAGAGATAAAAAAGGCATAAGATAATTAGCATTATGAAAACATTAGTAAGAGTCTCAGTTTCATGAAATACACATTAGATATAATAGATATTTTGAAACCTAAGAAATGTCTAAAATAGTTTCTTAAATATAATTACCAAAAACATGACATCACAAAAAAAGAAAGAAAAAAAATGAAATCTCCGAGAAGAGCGAATTTCACGCGCGACATTTCTCTTCTCTCCGACATGTTTACATAATAACGGTGGTGATAGAATAGTGAGTACGACAGTTTTTTTTTACTGAACATTATTGTCTGGCAGCGGAGAGTGCCGTCTTCGGTACGGACGCGGTCGATTAGGATTAAACTAAATACGGTATTAAGAGTTAAGGACGCTATAGAAGACGCCCTTAATATTAAAGCTTGGTCTAGAGGTGCATTAAAAGTTGATCCTGGACGCTGCCAACGCACATGCGCACAAGAGATCTGGATTAAACTTTAATACCGGATTAACTTTTATGGCACGCACAGAAGACGCCCATAATCACCACCCGCTCCTTACACCCACAATCATGTAGAAAAGGTATGAATAAAAATATCTCCACAATACAAGAGCTGCATTTGACCGGTTTGAATATATCTTCGTTTCTCTGCCGAAGATACATTCAAAACCAGGTCAAATACATCTCTCGTATTGTGAAGATATTCTCATTCATACTTTTTCTACATTTGTCACAATGAATGCGGTCCACCCACATTCGCACCTCTCAGAACACCCATTTCCATACATATAGTTATCGTGCATAATTCAATACAAAAATGTTTGATATTTTTATTCACATAATACTTGACATGATGGTCATTTCATTTTTGACGCCAGGGTTAGTTGTAGCTTCCCTTTCAGTTGCAGGGTCAGTTTTCTCAACAACTGGGTAAATAAAGAATTGCATCGTTTTTTCCTACGCCTGTGCAACTCCCGCCCACCCCACACACACTCACGATCACCTTCCCCTTCCCCCAAGTACCTTAACCCAGCATACACACCTTACACACAACCCTCCCTCCCCTCTGCTACATTCATACCTTACCCAGTCAAAAATTTCCTCCTCTCGAACACATGCACGTATATACACAGTCCAGTCCTTCATCACACAAACACATCTTCACATACAGACTAGTTCGTTCACACACATACGCAATCAGCTTCCTCTTCCCATTCACCAAACTATAAGCAACTTTATACATATATTGTATACAGCCTTTGATCCCATTTCTCACCGATCCTTGACACGCATAAACACATACAAGTACAAACACATACAAGAAGACAAGTACATAAACATATAAAGACTCATACATGCATGGATACACACACACACACACACACACAACACACACACCACACACACACACACACACACACACACACATATATATATATATATATATATATATATACATACATACATACATACATACAGACAGACAGACAGACAGACAGACATACACGCTCATACACAAACACGCAGTTACACACACGCACACGGGCACAGAGTCGACTTAACCCACTCCAACGTCTATACGTATACGGCCGGTTTGTTAAAACTGTGTGAGGACCGACCCATGAAATATTTTTATACCGCCATACATATACATTGAAATAAATGCATATTTATCTACTGTGTAGATAGAGAAATAAATGTATATATACCTGATAGATTGACAGATATGCATTTATTTCTGTGTAAAAGCATGTTTCTCTATACGAGTACTCACTGGGTCGGGCCTCGCACATACCGGCCGATAGACTTTGTACACACTTAACATTCGGCACCCATCTCGCGAAACACACACACGCACGCACACAGGTGAGTGACAGTCGCCCCAGAGCCCTCTATCGACGGCCAAACGAAGTTACCCATAATAACACAGTCGTGCAATCCGGTCGAGGCATCTGCAGGCTGGCAGTTGCTGAACCCTTCTAAAACTTATCTGACAGCAGTCGCCCGTTCACCATGTCTCTCTTTTGGAGCTGTTTAGTGGGGCCTCGGCTCTACAGCGTGTACGGGCAGATCAGATCAGGGAAACAGGTGAGAGGGGGTCGTGTCAAGGCCCGTTTGTGTGTGATTGATCATATGATTTTGAGATAATTTGAGAGGGACGTGATTTTCGTGTGTTAATATCTTCAAGGAATGGAAGTGTTTGTCAGATATGTGGAGCGTAGTGACTCATTCTACTGTTCTTTCATAAAAGTCCTAGAGATAAAGGCGAGGGAGATCTAAATATGTGTTATCTATATTCATTTTGTATTGATTTTACGTTCGGTGATAATTTTATGTTTATCAAGTTTATGATATTTAATCGTTTTGAGTCGAATAACCCTTCCTATTCAAATGAAAATTGGTCATTAGGTCCAGAAATTATATAGTTGGATGTGAGGAGATGTGAGATTAACAGTTGTATTATTAAAGAAATTGTGGAAGCCACTCTTCGAAGCGCAAAGTCCTCTACTAAGGAATAATACTGCAAAAAATCAACTGGTATATCAAAATAAGGCAAGATGATATGAACATTGTATTTTTGAAATTGACAGTCCTATAGTTATGCTAAGACTTCCTACAGTCGTGAAGAATTTAGCATAAAGAAATTGTATCCAGAACTGATTTGCATTACACAATTTTTTTTAAGCATACAACCATAGTTCATAGTACATAGTTAATTCACATTCATTGTGAGCTGTTTTGACTAATCTCTATTAAGTCATCCATTTAAACAAGTTAATTAATTTTAAATGCATGGTAGTATTAGAATTGATTTGAAGCATCTCACAGTATGGATGGTTATACCTAAACTTGTGAGATACTGATTCAGTGTTGTTAAGAAATGACAGGTTTTTATAGCTTGAAAATAGTTATCTTTATCAGTTTAATCCTAACCTTGTTAATTTTTTACTTTATCATTGGCCTGTAGACAAGGTATAAGATAATAAGGAATGAAAAATTCTTATAGTATAGTATTGTATTCACTTGAAGACTATATTAAAGAAAGAATTTTAATTAACATGTTTCATTGCAGGTCATTCCATATGTTGCTAATGCACTAGAACAGTTTGGGAACAACATTATGAAAGGGGTAAGTAAGCATACCATATGCTTTGATATTGATACCAAGTTTAGCTTGTTCTCATCTAAGCCGTACCTAGTGTATGTATATAGGAATTGTTTGCTAGTAACCACCTGTATGTTTGCAACAAGGTTTGGTGGATAAAGATAAGAAGTGTAATATTATTTTTGTATGTTTGAAAAAAAAAAAAAATAGAGTATTGATACAGTGAACTACATGACTTCAAAATAATATTGGTATTGTTTAAATAATGCATAATTATTCTGTTAAATGCATGATATATTACCATTAAAGTATTGAATATGTAATTTTTTGCATATTCTGTACGCAAGCACAAAATATTAATCACTTGATTCAAGATAAACATTCTTCTTCATCTCTTGCAGCTGAACATCATGTACAATATTGGTTACTTCGCTTCACCCTTTATTGCTTATTCTGTATACCAGTGGGAATACTCAAGCTACATCACTGCAGCCAAGGTAATGCTGAATGCATCATTATTATTATTATGGAGAACTCTTTGGAACTTTGGATAATCTTATTTTTTCAGTTTGAGCAGAAAACTGTTTGATTTGTAGAATCAGTTTGATCATAG